GATCAACACTGTTTATAGCCGCAATTTCTTGTTTGTAACACAGCTACATCAGGATTTTTGCGTTCTACTTCTAGCAAGTTGTCAGCCATACTTTGGTTTACGTTAAATCACAAAAAAAAATTAACTTATTTGAGTTTATAAAATATTTTTTAGATTATGTGACACTTGTGTGACACAATCGGATTGTGTGCCCTGTTTGTTTTTTTTTTTTGTTGGAATGCCCTATTAGGTGCAGATGTCAAATTTTATTTTGAACACTTTTCATTTCTTAGCGGAAAGTTCCAACTTCCTGATGAACAGTTCCAACTCCCAGATCATTTTTCTGATCAATACTCCCAACTTCTTTGCGCACTACTTCTATTCCATTCGTGAATTTATTATAGTCCCCAGTACATCGACCCCAAAATTTTGTAACTCATATACACGCCAAACTTCCTGAGCGGCTTCATAACACCAAGTCGGACAATATTTTTCATATCTCCACCCTGGGTGATGGGACATTGCCGCGCTAGCTCTTCGTGAAGTTGTAGTTCTGACATCCCTAAGGAAGTTGATACATGTACGTGTAGTTTCAATGCCAATCGACTGTTTTTTATATTACATTAACGATATCACATTTGTCGGACAAAAACTATGTGGCTTTGGGAAAGGTCCGACGCCCTCAACATGTCGCTGTGGCGTCCCTGAGAAAGTTGATACATGTACGTGTGGTTTTGATGCCAATCGACTGTTTTCTATGTTACATTATTAATATCACATAGGTCGGACAAAAATCACGTGGCTTTGGGGGGGTCCGACGCCCCCAACATGTCGCTGTGGCGTCCCGAAGGAAGTTGATACATGTATGTCCGACAAAAATAATTATGAATAACAATGTAATTTTAAAACATGTGTAGTAAATGTCGGACAAATAAAATGAGTATTAAAGTCAGTCGCACAACAAAAGTCCTTTTGATCAATTTCTGCAGAAATTCAGGATCTTCACTCCTGAGATTGCACAAAAAACTCGACTGAATATCCATTCTTTCTCACGCACGTGGTTTTGAATGACCGTTCACTAAATAATTTCCGTAAATACTCGGAGAACTATCAAAAAAACAGATCAGGGAATATGACACAGGGCCCCACAGGTATTTGACAAAGTAGGTAAATAATAAACTGACTAATATGCACGTTGCGTTAAGGCAAACTAATTTTAATTTTTTCGTTGACTGTCTCAAATTTTTTGTCCGACAAATGTGATATCGTTAATGTAATGTAAAAAACTATCGATTGGTATTAAAAACACACGTGCATGTATCAACTTCATTAGGGACGCCACAGCGACATGTTGAGAGCGTCGGACCCCCCCGAAGCCACGTGATTTTTGTCCGACATATATGATATCGTTAATGTAATACAAAAAACAGTCGATTGGCATTAAAACTACACGTACATGTATCAACTTCTTTGGGGACGCCACAGCGACATGTTGGGGGTGTCGGACCTTGCCCAAAGCCACATGGTTTTTGTCCGACAAATGTGATATCGTTAAGGTAATGTAAAAAACAGTCGATTGGCATTGAAATTACACGTACATGTATCAATTTTCTTAGGGACGTCAGAACGACAACTTCACGAAGAGCTAGCGCAGCAATGTCCCATCGCCCAGAGTGGAGACATGAAAAATATTGTCCGACTTGGTGTTATGAATCCGCTCAGAAAGTTGGACGTGTACATGAGTTACAAAATTTTGAGATCGATGTACTGGGGACTATTATCTTGTATCTCCAGAATTTTCTCGAGTCTAGTTTGTTCCTCAGATATTACGATTTGGATCCATTCTCGAAAAGAAATTAAAATTTTCCTAAAGCTGGTCCTGTTTTTCTTGTCCTCGGGCTTTCGCTTCGTGTCTTTTTATATCGTCGGTTTTCTTCTTCTTGTTTTGCTTTCTGTCTATGGTCTTGTTGTTGTCGTGAAAGTGCTGCAAGCCGGTCCGGTTTTTTCTGTTTTCGATCTTCTTCTTCTTGTTTTTTTTTCTGTCTTTGGTCTCTTGTTGTTATAGAAGTGCTGCCAGTCGGCTCAGTTCTTCTTGTTTCTTATCCTGTCTTCGAACTTCTTCTTGTTTTTTTTTCTGTCTTTGTTCTTCTTGTTACTGTAAAAGTGCTGCAAGCCGGTCCTGTTTTTTTTGCCTTCGTCTTCTTTTTCTAGTCTTTGTCATCCAAATTCTCCATGAAGTCCGCCAATATTTGATCAATTTGCTCCATTTCGGCTGCTTGAAACTTAATTTTGTATTTAAAGTTCTATGGCGAAGTCAAATCTTCAACAAGAGCACGAAGGAATGTTTTCGAAAATTACTTTATGGACTTGTTTTTCGATGTCTAAATCAGTAATGAAGTTACTATTCTTGTATCACTCACGGTTTACAAATAGAATTCTATTGAAGTTTATAGATTTTTCCAGAAAATTCGTTTTGTGAGCCTGATTTTTGATGTCAATTCTAGTAATAATAATAATAATTCTTGTATCACTTACGGTTTCCAAATAGAATTTTATAGAAGTTTGTAGAATTTTCCAGAAAATGTACTAATGAGCTTGTTCTCTGATGTCAAAGCCAGTAATAAAGTCTCTACTTTTGTATCCCTTACGGTTTTCAAATAGAATTCTATAGAAGTTTGTAGAATATTCCAGAAAATTCGCTTCCGAGCTTGTTTTTCAATGTCGTCAGGTAATAAAGTCACTATTTCAGTTCAATAATTAAAGCTCACTGATTGTTTCCGCAATAATTAGCTCCAGTCAATACACCAATTATCTTGCTAATAATCGTAATCCCACTAATATGCTCAAAAAAGTCCATAGTAGTTATCTTGCCAACTATTCCACTATTCAGTTCAAATTATTGCACCAATGGGCTCTTTCACCAAAAATTTAAATACGTAATTTAAGTATAAAATCCCAAAGGAGGGACTATTTTAGGCATATATACCAAAAAAAATTTTCTAAATAAGTTTTTTACAGGCATTTGAAACTGGCGAAATTCGAATTGATTTAAAACGCGCCGATTTGCTGACGTCACATACATATTTTCCACTTCGCTTGTTGTTGCAAGGAGCTGACCGCCTCGGCTGTGTTACCCTGTAGTAAAAGCAGGTATAGTCCGTTACATGGTTCTTGAGCTACGACTACTGAATAGACAGAGGGAACAATGGGCTATTGCTGCGTGGTCATATCAATAATATTTATTATTACATGAAAATGAAGGAAATTTTATTGCAATTTTCATGTATTAATAAATATTATCGATATGACAACGCAGCAATAGCCCATTGTCCCCTCTGTCTATTCAGTAGCTGTAGCTCAAGAACCATGCAACGGACTATAAAGGTTCGAATGCGCTGTTGTCGGTGGTGACTGAATATAGTGCAACGTAAAAAAAATAAATAAAACTAAACATAAAAAATTGTATTAAATTGTGTTTAAGCATACTTTCAATAAAACAGTTATAAAATCTTGAATTCATAATTAAATAATTTAACTACTTTTCATGATATTTTGCCAACATTTCAGAATTAAAACTATTACAAAATTTCGATGTTGACAATTAGTGGCAACACGGTCAAATTGCGAGCTGTGACGTCATAGAAATAAATTCTGGGTTTTATTTGGAGGTATTTCTTTTTTTTTTGTTTTCTCAAGAAGGACTGAATTTTTCAAAAGTAAAAATACAGAAAATTCTGTTTTTAGTTGCTTTATCCAAATATGCCAATTTCAAAAAGTGAAGAGCCCTTTGGCTTACTGTTACTTATAATCCAAATTGTCACATCCAATTGTTACTTATCACTTATCGAAACTTTAACGAAAAATATAGACGTGAAACTGACCGATCGATGGTTGAGTTTCAACTTCCGGTTGATCCCATGCAAATTGATAAGATTGAGCCGAAGGTTGAAACTCAACCATCGGTTCAGTGTTTTATAATACCGGCCCTTAAACTTTTAACTTGATACTATTGTCACAACCTGTTTTGTCGTGCCTGGGGACTTGGGATCTAGTCCGAAATGAAAACCAAATTTGAAATAACAATGCCTATTTATTACTTACAAAATAAAATAAGGGGTGAATAAGGAAAAGTGTAAATCTTTCTGTAGGTAACGTTAACCCGAACTTTTCTCGCGCTCGATAACCCGGCTCAAGCTTTATTATCCGCTTTAGCTTCAAGACCCAACTAACTAGAAAAATCGAATTATCGATCCAAGTCGATTTCGTATTGTCAGCAAGAAATTATTGATACCTCATAGCTGGGTCGTTGCACCAAGTTGTTTGCTAATATGCTGATGCGTCTACTTATTCATTGCAATGCCAGTATTGCTCAATATTCGTAATAATCGTTTATCCTGTTGTACAGGAAACTAAATTAGAACAATAGGACATGTCAATGAACTTTCGAATTAGTCTGAATGTTATTAATATTATAAAAGGTGTTATTCTTTGGCTTGACACTATTACTACGCTCTAGTTATATAGTCGAAATTGTACTCCGGATTTAACTAGAAAAGCATAGAATCGAATATAAGTAATAGATTTCTTAGAAAAAGCGCGCTGCCCGACTTTAACAAGTGTCTAATTTCTTGGAATCCTGGCGCCGGGTAGTCGATGCATTTTCGTAACAATATATCTCATTAATTTCAATATTATTTTTTGTAATCTACTTGAAGGGATTTTATTAATTTTTTCTCTCATCAAGCTAAAAGATTGTGATCTGTGTGAATTATAGCTTTCTTGTCTGAAATGTATTGATAGAAAACTAACATGATAACAAAACTGCAAAAAATTCTTTTCCTGATCAAGATATGGTCATGTCAGTTTCTGACAAACTTTTTAACGCAGTTTATCACCTTGTATTGATACATTTCTCTCAACTCGCAATCTAGGTTGTGGGTACTGGTTTGTCATGATTTGATTCTCAATTTTCTCATAAATAGGTATAGATATTATTTTCAAACATAACAATTTGTCAATAGGTTTGTTTCATCGAGCAATCTCGCAAAGCGGTAATGCCCTAGCCGGTTGGGCACAGCCCACGACCAATCTTCAAAAGGAAATCGCAACTTTGCAAGGTAAATTTGTCGGCTGCGAAAACGGTTTAAACAACACTGGAGACTTGATTCGATGCCTCAAATCTATTCCTGCCAAGGATATTTTGAAATCTCAGGATTCATTTAGAGTGAGTATATTATTATAGATTTTTTTTTTTAATAAAATTACGCTCGAATTTCCTACAGCCTTTTTTCGGAAACCCTTTGATGGTCTTTGGTACAGTTGTCGAAACTAAATCAAGAAATAATCCTAATCCGTTTATATTGAAAATGCCTTTACAATCTATTTTGGATGGAGAAATATCAAAGGTGCCATGGTTGACTGGGGTGGTTAAAAATGAAGGAATTCTAAGGGCAGCAGGTAATTAAGATAATATAAATAAAAGTCCAACATCGGATATCAATTTGTTCCACTGTAAGATAAAATAAGTAGGAGAGTTTTCTTTTTGTAATTTGGTCACTAAAATCCAGTTTCCAGGTTTGATTCGTTCAACCCGAGTTAGAGATACACTGAACGAAAACTTTGAAAAACTAGTATCCGAGATTCTGTTGATCTTATCCCTTAGTACGCCTCATTCCCAAAGCTTGTACCGAAACATTAGCAACTTTTATTTGAATGGAAAGAACTTCATCGATATTGACGACTCAGATAATATACAAGGATTTGTTGATGTGAGTATCTAAATAGGGATTAAAGAATTTGTGCTAAATGTCTTAAACTTTATAAACATTTCTAGGTATATTCTGACAGAGCTTTTTTCTATCCATTCTACCAATCCGTAATTTTACAATCCCAAAAAGGCCACACACCGATTTACCTCTACAGTTTTGAGTATGAAGGTGCAAATACTTATGGGGATTTGTTTGCAATGACCCACGAAAACATTAATTTCCATTGGGGAACTTGCCACTCTGACGACCTTTTATACTTGTTCAATTCCCCAGATCTTTTTAACGTTACCGGTGCCTTCAAGGACAGCCAATTGACTGAAATATTAATCAATATGTGGACGAATTTTGCAAAAAATGGGTGAGAAATTCACAATTAATATGTGCAAAATGGTATCAATTAATATTGTTTTGTTTAGACATCCGAATTTGCACAATGAGCCCATCACGTGGGAACCTCTGAATCTCAACAAGACTGATTGCTTAGATTATAATAGTAAATTTGAATTATTGAATATAACTGGAAACTACGAAACCGGTCCCAAACTGGAGATTACCAATGGTTTTTACAAGGAACGCATGAAATTTTGGTCCGGTAGTGACATTTACGAGAACCAGAATCTTAGTATTGACTAGACTGATATGTACTTATGTATGTTTAGATGTTTTTATATATTTTTAGGTTTAAGACGTATTTTGTGTTTGATTTCTGTTTAAACCTTCGAATCATTATTAAATGAATCCTGTTTGGGCAAATCCTTCCACGACAAAACGTGCCTTAATCTAAATATTTCCAATTTTTTTTCTAATGATTTGCCATTAAACGCCAACTTGTAGGTTCTCAATATTTCTGCATTCTTTGGTATTTCAACTTCTCTCCAAATATTATTTATTCCAATTGACTTTAATTCTCTGTCCATGGTCCTTGTCCAAATATGTTTCGGTTTAATTGATCTGGACCTGTAAGTCACATGAGCAAGTAAAAAGAATTAAAAACTTAGAAACAAAGTATCATTTTGTTAAAGGTAAGATCAATTATAGAATTAAAACATACTTCACAAATACTGAACAGTTTGAATAAGCCTTTAAGTAGGTTTACATTTGAGAAGTTGATGTTATGTTACGCCACTGCTTTGCTGCTACTGTCGCGCCACTGGCCTGCAACGAAGCTACCACACCGCTTATTCAGCATTCTATTTTCTAGCTTTTTCCTCAGAGATCATTCTTGAATCAACCTCTAAATAAAATTGTCAGTCGGGACGTTTTAACTATAATTTCAATATTAATCGAGACTTAATTATTGTTAATCGGGTTTTAGTACTAAATAGGTAACGTTTTAATGTGTAATTGTTTCATAAACTTTAGAACGGAATAAATTGATGCCAAGAGACTTGTTTCTTCTCCCTAAATAAAAGAACTTAACAAATTTTGGTGACGAGGATCGGATTAGGGTGAAACAAAAAGCTATACAGAGTGATATCAATCGTTCCAGATTACATTTGCCAGCATCGTAAGTAGACAAGTTTTCAGAAGCATTTTCTAGATTTTATTTCGTACTTATCATCAGGCCTATTGTACCTGTGACCCGAAGTCAATCTAGCTCAGGTTCCGAATCCCTTCAAGAATCCTTACTTCCAAATAACGATGACAATAACGCTCCTACTCATGCTATGTCAGAGTTTCGCGCAATCATTTCAGAAAATTTTGAAACTTGATTTTTTACAAGACTGTAGTCAAGCATGGAGTCTTTGTCGCGGCCCTCAAAAAATTCTCATCATATCTTACATAGAATCCAAACTCAAAGGATCCGCACGCGTTCAAACTATAGATTCAAAAAATTCTATCATTATGATGAAATTCGAGAATGTTTTTCGAAGAGCTAAACATAAAAATATTAATAATGCGCTCACAGAAGCGATCATAGAAGAAAAACATTTGCTTGCCAGAAGGTCCAAATATGTCAGCAATTCTTTTGGAAAATATTGCAGTAACTGAAAAAGAAAGGCCATTCATTCAAAGAATGTTATTCTAAAAGTCGAAACACCGTTCATTTTAACTCAGCACAAGGGCAAACTTCTAAATCTAACACACCGCCAAAAACAACTACTTGTCCAGATCCTTCTACTAATTCAAATTATAACAGTTAATTCTGTAACTATTGTAAGAAAAAAGGGCATATTATTACTGATTGTCGCAAAAGGGAATATAATAATAAAAAAAAGAAATTCAATGTCCAATGTAAACAATCAGCAAAATCAGTCTTTAAATGCCAACCAGTCCATAGTGAATGCCACATTGCTGAACTGAATAAACGAAATTCTGGCACGTCTCAATCTGGAGATAAATCTCAAATTCAATTACAGAAACGAACGCATTCTCATATACTATTAGCTCTTATAATAATATCTGCTACATTTATCTACCTCATCTGGATATAAATGGAAAGCTCTTTAATTTCAAACTATTGTTAGACACTGGTTCTAACGTCTCGTTAATTAAAACCTCTAAACTGAAAAATACCAGTTTGTTTTATAATCCCTTAGAGGAAATGTCATTAAACGAATATCCCAATGCAGCTGTAAGTTTTTTAACTCGGACTCAAGCAATGATAATATAAACTGTAATTATATCCTACATCCGCGATCTGAAACCATAATACGCATAAATGTTATTATCAATGGTAACCAAGTAAAAGAAGGCTACTGTTGCGATGCAGTAATTTTAGAAGGAGTGTACTTAGCAAAGCTATATTAAAAGTTGATGAAAACAATACTAATGTAACTACAATTGTGAACACTTTGGAAAAAGCCGTGCAAGTGAACTTCATTAACGTGGAACTCGAGAAATTCCACGAAGACCACTGTTTCGTTTTTAATGCTACGCAATCAGAAACGTCTGATTCTCACACGGTTGATCGCATTTCAACATTAGAAAATCTTAATTCTGAAGAAAAATTGTCAGTTTTGAATGTTTGCCGAGAATTCAACCATATTTTTCATTTACAAAATGATGACTTGACATTCACTCAAGCGATTCAATGTAAAATAAATATAACTACTGATACTCCAATTCATTCCAAAATTTATAGACTTCCAAAATGGCATGAATCTGAAATTTCGAACAAAATTGGAAAAATGTTTAAGCAGAAGATAATTCAACTATCTGTTTCTCATATAATGCACCACTATGGGTGGTACCAACCTAAAAAAATTGATTCATCAGAACATCGCAAATGGCGAATTGTAGTCGATTTCAGACGCCTTATTGATTTCGTCACTGTAAGCCAAGTTCAGCCAATTCCAAATATTGATGAAATATTAGTAATTGGGACATGCATCTTATTTCACAGTTCTGGATCTAGCCTCAGGTTGCCACCAAATCAAAATGAATCCGAGAGATGCACCCAATACTGCTTTTTCTACGCCTAATGTACAGTGTGGTCATTTTATCTTGATAACATTCTAAACTGTCATAATTTCTTTATTTTTAAAGTTATTTGAATAAATAAAAAAACATACTGTAGGGTTGCTTTCCAAGTTTTAGATAGGATGGATAAGAAACAAAAGACTAATATATTTTGACAGTTATGCGCACAAACAGCATTTTTTGAATGGAACACCCAGTAAATTTTTAGTTTGTTTGATAATATGTTTCATTCTGATTGCAATATATACAATACAATACAATTGAATACAATTCACTTTATACTAACATGCAGAAATGTTTTATTTATTCTAACTCAAAATTTTGATTACCTACACAGATTACCTGCAAGGGTAGGTAGGTAGGCAGAATTTTCCATTAGAATAAATAACACATTTCTACATGTAAATATGAAGTAAATTGTATTCAATTGTATTGTATTGTATATATTGTAATTAGAATGGAACATATTATCAAACAAACTAAAAATTTACCAGATGTTCCATTTAAAAAACTGCTATTTGTGTGCATAACTGTCAAAATATATTAGTCTTTTGTTTTTTGTCCACCCTATCCAAAACTTGGAAAACAACCCTACAGTATGTTTTTTTATTTATTTAAATAACTTCAAAAATAAAGAAATTATGACAGTTTGAAATGTTATCAAGATAAAATGACCACCCTGTACATTATGAGTTTTTACGAATGTCATTTGGTCTTGAATGTGCCCCAGCAGTGTTTCAAAGATTAATGAATACGGTTTCAACCGGATTTCAGGGAAATCATGCTTTGTTTACATCGATGATCTAATTTTCGTTAATTGTCATTGTTAATAATCAAATGTTTCTGATCATGAACAAAAATTAAAACTAATATTTCAGAGATTGTCTCAAAATAATTTAAAATTACAACCTGATAAATGCGAGCTCATGAAAAAAGAAGTCATTTACTTAGGTCAAAAAATTTCAGAAAATGGCGTTCAGAATTGTCAATCGCAAATGACGTTAAGCTTACTTTTCATGTATCCGTTTTTGCGTTAATCCGATGATCCGAAAGTATTCCTAATGGTCCAATATTTTGGCGCCAAGATATTGGACCAATAGGAATACTTCAGGATCATCGGATTGACGGAAAAACGGATGCATGAAAAGTAAGCTTTATTTGCATATACGCAAAGCTGCATCAATTTCAAATAAACCGCCCCCCCTCCCAAATCTCAAAAAAATATTAAACAATTTCTAGGTGTTGTAGGCTATTACAGATGATTTATATTAAATTTCGCAAAAATAGCAAAATTATTGAAAATTTTATTAAAAAAAAAGAATCAATTTTCTATTGGAAAATAAAAAATAAGTTAGTTTCGTACCACAAGGACTTATTAAAACTATTTGTTTCAGACAAAAATTAAGCTGATACATCACACGCTACGTGCTCTCCTCATAATTACGATGTGTCGCGCCCACCTATCGCGCACGGAGGAGCAGGCCTATCAAATAAGACCAATTAGTAACCAAGCAGGCATCTTTCACCAATTTTTAGGCACCGTAAAATTATACGATGATTATTTTACTCTCCTTTCGTTTTCGAATATTTCCTTTTCTATTCATAAATTGGAAATTGTGGAAAAAATATATGCAAAATCGAAAAACATATATCATGATTCCAATCTTGGAAATAATAAAATATACATGCATAGTTTTCATTGCACGGATTCGCTCGCCTTGCTTGAGGCTCAAATTAAAACATTAGAAAATAAACTTGATACTATTATTCATTTAGTCGCTCATACATTTGAAACCAAACGTAAACGCAGAATTTAATAAACGGAGTTTCAACTGCAATTAAATGGTTGTTCGGTACACCAGATGGAGATGATTCAGTTTATTATAATGGCGCAATTAATTCTTTGTAAAATAAAAATTACGAGACTCAGATATTAATGCAACAACAAATAAGAGTAATGTCTTCTGTAATTGAAAATTATAATAGTTCTGTTGTTTCTTTAAAATTAAATGAAGAAAAATTAAATAACAATTTCGAAAAATTTCTTCATAATCTTGATTGCAATATGTTGCTGCTGTTTCAAGTACTGTTATAACTGAAAATGGATACCTTATTTCGGCCGATTTTTCCCCTCAAAAACGGTTACACATGAAATCAGTATTTACAATCATGATTCATCGATATTCAACAGTAACATCTTCTTGAATTCCAATGAACCTGTCAGATTTTCACAGCAAATTCCAAGAGCTCGACAAGAACCAGAAGCACTCGAGTTGAAAGCAGTTGTTGGTACCAATAACAAACCAGATGATACTCAGCAATACCG